GAGCGGCGGCCACGCAACGTCGTGTCGCCGATGGTGAGCGACAGCAGCGCCGGCGAGCGCGCGGCGGCTGCGCTCGAAATGAAAACGCTCTGTGACTTTACGGCGTGAACTACAGCCCCCACCACTCCCCACCAACCGATTTTCTGTGATAAACCCGAACCAATCAAAACCAGGCAACTGCTGACAGCGGCCACGCCCCCGTCGCCATGCTTACGAAATCAATCAAACTTTCCACGCGACCCAAACTAACCCAAAATTTGACAGCTGAAAACGCGCCACTGCCAGCCGTTTAGACGTTGATAATGTCAGTTTGCAGGCCACCAAATTCAAATGTGACATTGACAATTGACATTAGGAGTTCGAAAACATTACGAATATTTGGACCAGAAAAATCGCATTTTAAAGACGAAATTTCACTAGAAAATCACACATCACAGTTGACTTTTTAAACGGTTGAAAGCCCGAGTCAAAAGTGAAAAAACCTTAGCGTTTGAAAGGTTTTGTGACATTTGAAAGGTGAAAAAGTAACTTTTTCGGCTAAAAATCGACATACGTATGACACTTCAAGATCAATGGCAATTGCAAGTTTTACTTGACCCTTGAAGTCTGGCTTGACAGTTCAAATGTTGAGAAAATCGGTCAACGTCAACGTCAAATCGTCAAACGTCAAATGTCCCAACTGTCACCTTAAATTCCACGTTTCGAGATTAGAATCGCAATGTGAAGTTTGCCACAACGTAACCTGCAAATTGAAACTCACTATAATGGTTTTTGCATTGATGATATCAGTTTGCCAGTCCCCCAATTGGAATGTGAATCGAAATGTCCCATTGACAAATGACGTTCCAAACTGACAGTAGGAGTACAGAAATGTTGAGAATATTTTGAGTTTTCCAGTTAAAATTTCAAATTTTGACCCGACAATCTCACTTCAAAGGGGAAATGTCAATAGAAAATGACATGTGACATTGACAATTGACAAATGAGGTTCCAAATTGACATTGGGAGTACGGAAACATTAAGGAAATTTTGACCAGAACAGTCGCATTTTAAAGGAGAAATTTCACTAGAAAATAACATTTTGGCCTCTAAGCTTTGACATTTTAAACGGTTGAAGGCCCGAGTCAAAAGTGGAAAAACCTTAACGTCTGAAATTGAGATTTGAAAGGTTTTGTGACATTTGAAAGGTAAAAAAGTAACATTTTCGGCTGAAAATCGACATTTGACACTTCAAGATAAATGGCAATTGCAAGTTATACTTGACC